ATTTATTGCTATGGGCAGGTTATAATATAAAAATGTTTGTCATAATCATGTCTTGTGATTATTTGACAGGAGTTTTACTTTTAAACTGTAAGTGTATTTTATTTAGTTATGTTAGTTATGATAATTTAGTTAAGATGTAAATACAATAAAAATTTAACCAAGATTTAGAATAATTATCATTTTGATCCATACATTGGTAATGTCTGACTGGGCCTCGTGACACTTTATGTTCAACAAATTGGGCCCCGAGATCAAAAAAGTTTAAGAACCCCTGGCCTAAGAGATGGGCATTCTCACCCATTATTTACAGAGGTATTCAGATATTTCATGTTCCCTTTCATTTCTGAACTCACAGGGTGTCGTCAAATGTACAGACRCTGTATAATCTCTGACTTTCATATGCCCCATCTCACCTCTGGCCTCGATTTCCTGTATACACATGTCAACCACCATTGGCCTCTTGGTGTTGTGGGCTTTCACCAGCGTGGTCAGGTCGCAGCTGTACACCTTCTTGACGTGRCGGAGGTCCGGCTGACAGTCGTTTGGTACAACTTTGGAGCACTGCTTGTGAACGTTCAGGCCGCAATCTACCAAACAAAATGCATATCAGTTTAAGTCAGGATTTTATTTTATTTTTTTGTGTGTGTGTGTGTGTGTGTGCGTGCGTGCGTGCGTGCGTGCGTGCGTGTGATTACAGCAGAGTTTCGGCGTAGGTTGTTGCAGAAGCAACCCACACACTGTAATAATCAACACTGACAGTGTGTTCTTTGGCACCAAAGAGACTTTTAACATTTCAAATTCAAGAAAAACAGCAGATGAGTCAGCAGTAAAAGTGACTAAAGAGAGGAAGGAGGGAGACACGTCAAACATAGCCACAGAGGACGCTTGAGGACAAAAACGATAACAGTTATGTGCGTGTGTGTCTGTGTGAATACCTGCGCATTTCACACCCTGAGCGATGAGACCCCACATGAAGTTGGCACAATATTCGCACCAATGGGGGCCCCTGAATGTATGAACCTATATGAAGAGAGAAAAGGGAGAAAAAATAGGTTAAATATGAAGCTTTTCATTGGAATTATCAAGTGAGAACATGCTAAATAAAAACAGGAAGTTCTTTTTGTCAAAWAAACCAAATGACAACATTTGTGCAGCATGATGCCAACAACAATTAAAGGCATTTTAAGCAAAGACCTTGTTTTGAAAAATGAKCAAGTTTTGGCATTTTTGTTTAAATCCTGTAAATAATATTATTCAAAGGGTGGGGGGCTGCAGAAGCTAGAGAAGAGTCTTTAGCTACGTTCACACTGCAGGTCTTAATGCTCAGTTCCGATTTTTTTGAAAAAATCCGATCTTTTTGTGTGAACGTTCACATTACATTTTAAATGTGACCTGTATCAGACCCCTGTGTGAACGCAACAAAGCACTGATGTGACACGCAGACGTGCCGTCTCATCAGCCGGCTCATTTTTTTACAGAGCTAGCATGGATGCTAGTTTTTGCACGTCGAATCTGAAGTTGTTTTTTTTTTTTTATCTCAGAGCCGATTAAATAATTATCTGACCTGCTTGTTTGGTTCAGTGTTTATATCTGAACCTGCCTCTGACCGGGGTGCTCCAGTGAAACTTTTTATTTTTGAACGAAGCAATGAGCTGGAAAAAAGTATCGACCGAGTAACTTTAGGATCGATACTCTCCGCGACCCAGGCTGGACATCATTATTATCATACTATGTATGTGGAAAATGAAAAGTAAAAGGAT